AACACATGTTGGCTCAAGACTTGCAGTCAGTGCATGGCAAAACACATTTCAACTCATTTGACTAACTAAGACATTAACATCTTGGTGCTCCAAAGAAAACGCTGTGTCCATTCGAATGGACAATCAAAAGACAAAAGAAATTTTGATTGTTTTTCTATGAAGGCCAATAGCAAGGCCGTGGGTGAGAATACTACTTTAGAGAAGCAGGTGTAAAAGAAGAAAGGCGGCCAGTGGGAGGTGGGGAATAAGCTGGGGCCTCTGCCAAGCTCTGCAGCAAACCCGACAGGCACATGCAGCGCAGGCCAGGACTGCTCAAACACATGAAGCAAGAAGCTCCTTGCTCCATTCCTCTACCCTGCTTCGCTCAGCAATTCCCAATACTCAGCGGGAGGCTTCATCCACTGACGGCCAGAGAGATGACATGCACTCCTGACACACACTCGAAAGCAAACCACATCTATGCATGCACACAAAAGGCCAAAAACAAACTTTTTCTTCCTTGCAACAATAGGTACTTCCTGAAATGGGGGAGGTTCAATCTACCCAGGGGGCATCAGGGCAAAGAGCAAGCCTAAGCCTTTTGGAGCCATCTGACACTCAGACGCTCCCCACCATCTAAAGCCACACCCTAAAGGTGAGAGAGGTTGTCTGAGCGATCAGCGCCTGTCCATCACACCCTGCCCAGCCACCTTTCCTGACCCCTGTCAAGAGCTGCAGTTAAGAGGAAAACAAAGAGCTTAATGCATACATAGTTCCAAGTGAGGCCCAGCAAACAAGCCAGCGAGCCCAGTAACCACGCACCTCTAGGAGGGGAAAAAACTCAAGGTCACATCCACCCGTCCAGTGAGTGACTCCAAACAAAGAGGAAAGTGAGGTCACAATCAACAAGTGCTTCCATTCACATACATGAAAGCGCAAAGGGAGAGCGGGCAGCGATTCAAGTCGGCTAGTTCAAACCCCAGGCGGGGGAGGGCATTTTTCCATATAAATGAACCCATTGACCAAAAACCTGATGCTAGCATTTGAACTACCATGTATACACAGTGGGCACCAAGGGGGGAATCCTATACAATGATTGTGTTGAGGGTCAGAGGCCACAGATGCCATGTGTGCCAAGTATTGCTGCATCAAAGCCAGTCACTTCGCTGTCCGAGCTACCCTCAGTTAGCCATCAAGAAATCGGGTGAAACACTCGAAAGCCAACACTGGAACACTGGTGTTTGGGTTTACGGCCGGTGATGTTCGCTGTCAAGCTGTCTGTATTCAAGTCACTGTTTCTAATTCAGACAAAATATGACACCCCACGGTTTTGGAAATGCAGCCAACGAGTGTGAGAAAGAGATACTGCACGGCTCCCCTTCCCTCTGTCTCTTGCTTGTCTTCACATGGATTTTAGAAAGCAAAGGGAAGAGAGCAAGAGAGAAGAATCTGCCCCTATCTGCAGCCACCCTCATCCCTGTGGCTATCTCTTTCGAAGGACGACGCAGAGATTCACATGCAAGCTCAAAGACAGATACCCCGTAGAATGTGTCATTAAAGGTCGGAGCTGTGTTGTGATTTGAGCCCAGTAAGCTTCTTCCCCAGAGGCTTTTAAAAGCCAGAACCAGGCACAACAAGGCGCTCTGTGACGTTAAAACATTAATCACCCACTCAACAGCTATCTACACTAGAGGTATTCTAAACAACAGGGAAGCCACCCAGGTTGGCAGACAGAAGACTGATACAGTTGCTAGAAATGTCAGTCAGTGGGAGCAAATTTCAGGGTCATGTTCGGATTCTTTGATTTGCTCTTTTTTGATTTGCAAAGTCTGGTGTGGTGACTAGTGCAGTGACTCTTTGGAAACATCTAAAACACATTTTAAATTCACATCTATTCTGCAACACATGGAACAGACACACACGGTGAGGAAAAGCAGCTGAGGACAGGTATATAACCATGTCATGATGGCTGAAATAACAAAACCTCATTTTCCATCAAGGCAACACTTTAAAAGCTCTTATCTTTGCACTTCTGTTTCTGGCACTCCACCGCTAGTGACAGCACATGCATGAAAAAGTCAAGTATTTGTACGTGTCAGAGATGACAAGTTAAAAACAAAAGTTCATCTTTGTTAAGTTCATGTGGAAACATAGCCTTCCTCTCCTTTCAACAGGTTTTTGCAGAGTGTTCAGGGACTGTACAAACTCTGGAAACTCTTACTGTGTCAGTAGATAAAGAAGTTCCAGTTATTGTTCTGGCACTGTCTGTAGCGCACCGTGGCAGAACTATGACACATCATATCTGAGGGAAAAGCTTATCTCACCAGAGGTATCTCTCCAGTGATATACAGTTTGTTTCCTGGAAGTCTGGTTGATAACATGCAGCTTGTTTCATCTTTGTCAAAAAGATATTTTCTTTTACACAATGACAGGCAAAGAATAATACTCACCACAGTGTGTACGTAGGTCTTTCAAAACAATGTCTTTACAGAGCAAAATGCTGGCTTGCAAGCAGATTGGAAGCATTGTTGGCTATTCTGCACTTCCACGTGTTTGGACCAACGGTGATAGTTGACATGTTTTTGACCTACAAGGCCCAAAAACCTCTTCAAACCTGCCAACGCCCTCAGCACTAACTCCAGCTCCTAATTTTGATTTAAGGCAAGAGTCCTCTTCACAGGAACATAAAGTGAAGAAACAAAGAGAAAAAGACAGAAAGGGTCATAACATGATTGACCCTGACAAAGAGTGCTTTTATAGCTCCTCATATAGGGGAGATATTGGGAAAGGAATCTGCCCCCCCACTAACAACACAGGTTCTCCAGTCTCCAGTCATGTTCGTGATGAGATAAATCAGAAACTGTTGTTTCTTAACTTGCTATATATGAGTTGCCTTGGAGAGTTATACTGAAAACAGAAATGCACTGTTTAGTGAAAAAAAACTGCTGCAGACAAATGCATCTGTTAACCCTTGAGTTACCATGTCTCAAGAGGATAAGCGGTTTCGAAAATGGATGGATGGATGGATGGATGGAGGACAAAATGAATGAATATTAGGGCTGGATATTGTTTGTTTGTTCACTCATTTTTTTGTTCGTCTGTTCAGTCAGTCAGTCGGTCGATCGTTCATTCACTCACTCGTTCCTTGTGCTTGTGCCTGAATCTTAGAAATCTGAGTCCTAATTTTGTTGGAGCTAGTATGCTGTTTCTGTGCTTGAGTTTCACATCGCTTTGTCTGGCGTTGTCTTGAGTTCAGAGCCTATCATTATGAGTATTTATGATCAGACTCGTTCCTGAGTCATGGCATTGCAGTGGCATTCAGGACAGTCCTACAGTATATCTGTGTATATGTACATAATTTGATACAAAGAAACATTAACCAGCAGTTAGATTTTCACTGCCCCCCAAAATACTGCTGCTCAGATCCTTTTCCCAGCTAACAAGGATTCTACTCGTTGGTCCTGTGCTCCTCAACACGTTTTTCTCTCTCAGCAATTAGGCTGTGGTTAGGTGCCCCATACTTAGACGCTGATTTAGTCTGATGGGAAACATAAGGAAAAGAAAGATAGACAGACTGTACAGACACGGTGTAGAGCGGAGACGAGAGAAGGGAAGGGCTACATGTTATCTTTATCTCTTTAACACATTAAACCAAGAGGCAAATGTCAAAATCCAAGACTAGCAGCAGCCACTACAAGCGTTTTGCAAGCAGAACAACACGTGCCGAGCCAGTGTTTATATCTAACCTGCTAGTAGCAGCGTGTACTGCACTCCTTCCCATAAAAAGACAGGACAGGCCTGTTAGTCTTAGCTTAGCGTGGCCTTCAAAGAGCACATTTATCACCACATCTGGAGAGGGGCCTATCTGATAAAGCTGAGAAGCCACAGCCTGGGACACCTCACAGTCCTACCCCAGCTCCACTGGTTCTTTTAATCCTGCTGCTCATTGTTTACCTGCAGCCCTTTGATGAAGCCCTACAGGTGTTTCATCCATGTACGCATCTTCCTCCCTACTATCTCGTGCTGTACACTGAATCATTCCTAAAATACCAGTTTATATGTTGGATTATGTGTTGAAAAGTCAGGATGTTTGTCATTTAGGATTAAGTAGATACAAAAGGATAACTGGCTAAGACATAATGTAACTGGATAATGACAAAGGAGGTTCCTGGGACATCAGAAGTCGGGGGGTCATTCATCAAGACTCCACTCACAGTTCTTCAGAGAGAGTATATTGTAAAGTGCCTCAGAGTGGGGGCTGAGAGACCCTCCAGATTTCTCAGTCTCTGTTTACCACACACAGACTGAGAGAGTGAAAGGGCAAAGCATATTAAGGAGGTATTGACCTGGCCCATCAGGTCAGTCCAAGTTCTTTAAACCGCCGCCTCACACAATGGCCACCACCAGGCGACAATGGCCGGGTTCAGACAACAAGCAAATCAAGCAGCCTGCACATAAAAGATTTATTGCATCACGCAACAAAGGCCGCCCACGGCGCTCCCTGCGAGGACGACTCTGAGGCCCTCCATCGCGGTGAACTCCGCTCGGTCACCCTGCTTTCTCTTGAGGGCCTCTCCACCACCCAAAGGCCTCAACCATAAAAATTCAAATGAAATTGGGGGAACTTTCAAGCAGCCTCCCATGCGGAAAAACTCTCCAGTTCTTTTCATCACAACTGCAACCTGAAAAGTAATTATTCCTTCCCTCTGAGCTCCTGCCACAGACCTGGAATTGAATGCTCCTGCAGAATGTGAGTGAAAACACCAGGCAGTGCTGGAGCACATTTCGCTTAATTAAGTTGAGGAGTTTTCAAAAACACCCCATCATCAAGGCTGAAATATTTTGGGTATCCTGCAAGCCAAAGATCGTGACTAGGTATAATTTCCATTTTGTGTTTATTGCTATTGCTCAGAAAGTGAATGCAGGTCTGATGAGGTTCATCAGAAGGTAAGTATTTGTGGGTGAAAGTCAGACAGACAGTAGTTACAGGCAGTAAAGTTAGGCAGTCTGTAGTCTGTTACCTGAGGCAGCACAGGGCTCTGCGCTGTTGTCGGTGTGTGAGATGTTCTTCTTCCTCTCGTGTCGATAGACAAGATGAGGTTTGTTGTGTTCTTCGTCATATTCCTCCCCTGCAGCATTTAAAAGAGGCTCCAAGAAGTATTCACCATGTTGTGTCGTAAACGTTCCAATCTAGAGCAGAAAAAAAAGATGTCATTGATGGCTTTGGTATGAAGCATGCGCTTGCATGTGTGCATACTATACTGTATGTGTGTAGGTTTCATTTACAGATTAGGGTACAGTATCATTCAAAGAGGTTGCTGTTCAACTGCAGTCATTCTGTGTTGCCCTTGGGCACCACTGTGCACATTATTTCCATGCTTTTGAGCAAGCTCTGTTTTTTGACAGGTGCACATGGAAAGAGCATGCTGACTCAGAAAGGTCAGATAATATCTGTGACAGCTCACTATCAGTCATTGTGTAAACTGTAACCATGACAACAATCAATCATAACACATTTTAAGCCTTTTATACACTTATCAATGCACAAGTAAGTCATTAAATCATTTCACACCTTCTTGCACAGGCTTTTAAGAGTGCTTCATGCAACTGTGAGAATGCATCTCCCCATAAACCTGACACTGGGACGAGTGACATCATCATACACGGACAGAGCTGCTGACAGAGGAATGCTAATATTGATTTGGCAGCTCAGTCCTTCACAAAGCTTCTTAGCTCACTCAGCCATGAGGCACAATGGTGTTTGTATGGTAATTTCATGTGCACACTTAAACAGGATATTGGACACTGGAATGTTATCTTTAAGGCGGCATTATTCCATAACCACCCCCACGAGTGATGGACGCTTGACAATGGAAAACATACAAATCGGATATGGAAAACGTGTACAAACTGTGTGTGTATCTTTCCTCTCCGCCTCTCAAAGGGTGAAGGATTAGTTGGCTCGCGCATATGCACCATACTTCCTCGAAAGTGCTACAGGTCTTGAGTGCTACATGTGTTCAGCGCTGCAGTGTAATGAGCTTGTGAAAACAAGACACAGGATAGAAATAACCACACCGCTAAAACAAAAAAAAGGCACTTCAGAGCCTCAGTGTTCAGGTTTGCAATGCATGCATGGATCAAAGTACTGGCAGAATCCAGTTACAGTGTGTTAGGCATGGCAGCAAATGCTGATAGTTGCATTAAGATTTAGGCCCTTTTAATTAAGGGGTAAGTTCAGTATTTTTCAACCTGGACCACGTTTTCCATGTTTTTGTGTCTAAGTGACTCATGTGAACAGCATTTTTCTAAATTGGTCCAGCATTGAGCAAAACTGCTGCAGATGGCAGTAGCAAAACAGGCTGCAATGTAATCATTTTGGGCATGTTGGCAGCGTCAGTTTATCTCAACTAAAAGTGCTTATTTTTGCCACTGACATTTTAGATTATTATTCCAAGTGTCTGACACCATTATGGAAAGGGCCCCACAGAGATAAACCTTTTTGTTAAAGAGTAGGATCCTTTTTGTTTAACCAGAAGCAGCATGGACATTGCCATCGCCAAACCTACCAGACTCCATTAAAATAATGATAAATTTAGTGTCGTATAACACACGTCATTCAAAGTCGGCGGAAACAATATAAAAGTCTCAAAAGCCATCTTGGTTCATCCTCTTCCACTGTTACAACAATTACCAGTTCTGGTTTGGTTGAAATAAACCGTTCATTCACCCTGTTGGATGTGAAAACATGCTGGCTTATACACGCTAAAATTACTGTTTATTTAAATGGAGTCTGGTGGAATTGGTGATGGCGATTTCTGGCTGTTTCTGGTTAAACAAAAAGGATCTTTAACAGAAAGGTATATCTCTGTAGTGATCCCTTCCATAATGTTGTCACCGCCGCATTCACAGCTGCTCGGTGAAGATATAAACAGAGGGTCGTTGCAGCCTTTTTTCACTGCTGCTGGCTGCAGCGCTCTCGCTCAACACTGGATGAATTTCAAAACTTGTTCCCTTTAGTCACAAAACATGGAAAAAATAGAATCCAGGTTGAAAAATACCGAACGTACCCTTTAAATATGAAAATGCCGCAGCCTTTCTACAACTACCAGTTATAGTGATCTTAATATAATGAATGATTTATGCAGTGTAACAACTGGTAGATGTTCACCTTTATCTTGTAAATAACTATCTGTGGTGAGTTAACTTTAATTAGATGATTATGGTTGAGCCTCTCTTAAGTTCTCATGTGGTGTTAATGGAAGGCTGAACAGACAAATGCTCTGTTTAGTCAATGGAGGGGGCAGAGTTTCAGGGTTTCCCAGCATTAGCTCAGCAGCAAATCTGGCAAAAGTTTGGACAGACACAATGGTTGCTGTTCAGTAGCGGGTGCTGAACCGGACCTTACAACTGAGGGACTCCTATTTGAAGCGAGGTCGCCTTCATGACATGGATGGCATGACTGTTGGCACACATCTGTTTTTATCAAATCCCACAAAGACACTTTCAAACCCCGGTGGGTGCTGAGTCATTCGAAAGTGACGCACAGTTGCAGTCAATCTCTGAAGTTAAATAGGACATAAAGGTGTCATGAGCCTGATCTTTACACAGAGGTACATGGCTTGGTGCTGGAATGAAGATAGCCTCATTACTCAGGACAGGCTGACTCACCACACACTTCTATTATGTGAGTGAAGTGAGAGAGCGAGCTCCTTTAGGGGCATTTCCCACGCTGCGAGCAATCCTTAAGTCCCTCACGCACAACCTTCATTGGCAGTTGTCTCCTCTTCGCAGCATTTCTCCCCTTCTCTGCCCGTCACAGCTCACTTTGAAAAGGCCAAAAGCTCCTCAACCCCACCCCCCCTTGAATCCCCCTTGAATCCCCCCTGGGGACGGCTTTGAGCAACTCTGGACGAAAGGGGAACCTGCTTTTTCTAGAATGACCCCTTTGTTTTAGGGCTTAATTATTCCTTAATGACCTCATCCCAACAAAATGTGCTTGGCCATTAAGCCCCAGTGATCAGATACGGACACATTTATGACCCAATAGCCTCTGGTGCTGTCTCCATTGTCCTGTCATTCTCAATGAGTGATGATGCGGATAAGCAACAAAGATTGCTTGAAAAAGGATGCAAACATGTTTGGATAAGCGAGTCATACATCAAAGTTGGGCAGAGGGGCAATTAAAGGCTTATTACCCTGATAATTCCAGCATACTCCATGTCTTAAACTGCAAAGCAAACACACAAAACAAAAATGTTATGTGTATTTCTCCAAAGCTACACTGAGTGGGAGTTAACCCCGACTAAAATGTCACACACAACAATTGTTTATCACGCCAGGTTTCAACAGGAGTGCAATCACTGTATGCATTGTGAATGTACTAGATCAACATGCTATCCTGGTACTGTACACAGTGCTCCTATCTAAAATAAGGATTATGTCACTGATAGGGGTTGCGATGGGGAGGGAGACTCCAAGGCTATGGTCCTCCTGTCTGTGTTGCTCCGGCCGGTCCCCACCATGCTAAGTCCACACCAGAATCCGGCTGGCGCGACTGAGGTCAACCCCCTGCCCCTGGACCAGTAACCTTATGTGACCCATGAAGTCATCCCCTTCAACACTCACCAGACTCTCTCACACAGGAGTCAGCAAACTAAACGATTTGGGCATCAGCATCCTGATATGCTACAATGGGACCGTAAACTCATTATTACCCAATAACTCCATTACAGCCCCGTAAGATCTAGAGATGCAATGAGGGGCAATCAACAGCTGCTTTAGACTGAATGATAACATCTGTTGCTCAGGGCTGCAGCTAATGACTACTGTCATTAACAACGGACCTGATGATCATTTAGTCTATGAAAAGTGAAAAACTACCAAAAAAAGCCCAAGGTGACATCTTAAAATAGCTTGTTTTGTCCGACCAGCGGCCCCAAATACATAGGTATCCAACTTACTTACTTACATTTGTGACTGGTAAGTAACTTTAAAATTTTACTTGATTGTCTTTTTGCATGTCCGCTGTTATTACACTTTGTTCAGCAAAGATTTAGAGGTTTGTTGTAGCAGCAAAGAAGAGCTTGATAAAGCAAAAGCACAGACATGACAACAGATAACTGCACATACTGCAGATTCAACCCTGTGTGTAATTCTACTGTTGCTTTCTTGCAAGGGTGCAGGTTTTGTTTCAACATAGGAGGGCGGGACATATGAAATGAGGAGTTTGGGCATCCACAGCCAGAAAGTTTTGAGCATCAAATACTTAATTTCCTGCATTCATTCTGGTGAATCTTAATGCACCAATTTGTGTCCTTTTTGCATTCATTTATGGTGTAAAAGTCTGGAAAAATGCACAAATGCCCAAAATATTTAGGGGAAAATCAGCCTTTTTGCTTGCCCTATCCTCAGTGTTCACTCTGCAGGGTCTGCCAAAGACCAGCCACTTCAGCCAAAGTTGAGTGTCTTGCTCTAAAGCACACCAGCAGCAGGGTTTGAGGCTTGTTGTCACATCAACCCCCAGTCTCCAACCACCACACCACCCTGATGCCCAGACTGCACTGTGCACCAGCAGCATCTCCCCACAGGCACTGAGATGATGCAGAGCTGCGCGCTCTCCTCCTCAGTGACATTAGTCCTGTAACACTTGCTCTTGTTACACTCCTACACACTTCACTAAAGCTGCGGGTTATAGGGGACATGCATGGATGGAGGCCTGTCAGCATAGCTTGATTAAAGCGTATTAAAAGTAAACTTTAGCGGTAGTGAAAAGTCAGTTACTCACAAGGCCAGTGCACAGGCTGAAGACGGCAGGATATCCGTCCCTGGCGTTGACTTGTCCGCGGAAAAAGCAGTGGCGCATATCGCTCGGGTCATGGAAGTGGGTGTCCGTGTCGTTGCTCTGTTCCGCTCCCAAGTGTGTCACTGTGTAAGAGGGGGCGATGAAGCTGGAGTCTGCGGTCAGATTGAGATGAAAGCGTTCCCCGAATGCATCAATCCTGTAGTGAACCCGTAAGCCCGACAGGTCCTCATTTAAACTTCTCCGTCTCCTCCTGTAGTGCAATTTGTGCGGGAATGATTCTCCGAAGTCATTCACACGGAGCGGGGTGATGATTTCATACGATGACAGCTGCTTGATGAAGCTTTCTGCAAAAAAAAAAAAAAAAAAAAAAAGGGTAAAGAGAGAAAAGCGGTGGCATTACCAGCAGCGCGTCAGTGTAATACATGCAGCTGCAGCCTGACAGCCCTAACAGCGCACCAGGCATCATTACAAACACCACACATTACTGTTTAAACACCTTCAGCAGGAGGCTATCACTTCACCGTGATCAAAACAAAACGCTACCTTGTTTCGGATGCAATCGGTGTTGCAAAGTGTCCCGGACAAGCGCTGACAGATGACACATTAGTCCAACCAGCCAGATTGCAAACTGCATGATTTCCTCCGCGAAGAAACCCGGGCTGTCGTCTCCAAGGCAGTAACCCTCTGTGTCTCCCGAGCGGCTCCCCCTCTCCCTCTCCTTTTCCCCGGCTTGTCAGCAACAGGTCGTGGGATCCGCGGAGGCTCTCTGCAGCGCAAGTCTTGCAAAGTGCACTGGCCTCATCGCATTGCTAAACATGCATCCACTACCCCTCTATAAACGCCAGCTATTTATGAAATATTCATCCCGCTGACAGAAAAAAAAATATGCTGCCTAATGTAAACTGCAGTCTATACTGAAAGGAGGGATCAGTGCCAAGTACGCTTTCCCTTAGCCATCCCTAGAACACCCCGTGCACCCTAAGCACTCACCAACCGCGAAGCAACGCCCCTATGGGCTGCCGAGCCAATGGTGAGTGCGCCTCGACCACCACACATGGGGCAGGCTCGAGTGCTACAGTGGTAAAAAGCCTGGAAACAAAATATGCCAGTCCTCATGAGAAAATCAACCAAAATCACGAAATCATCTTGAATTCAGGGTTTCAGGTTTGTGCCAGTGGTGATCTTTGCTCAAACAAAATGACAATGGCACACAAACCTTTGAGGAAACCATCCATTAGAAGTAGTTAAGCTTATTGTATTTCAGAATCTCAAAATAATAATACTGTTAGATTAGATGATTAATGGATTGTGGAGACTTTGATGTGTCTGAGGTGTTAAATAGTTTGCTCATATTGGTTTTAAACAACAGAATGTATTGTCTAGCTGTTTGGGATCAGTAGGATCTAATACATATTAGAAAACTAAACTAAAAGTCCCAATGTTCTCAAACAAGACAACAATAAAGTCCCAATGTCTTTAAACAAGTACGTCCTGATTGGTCAAATTTGTTGCCACATCAAACTACAAACAGTCTTAATCATCAATACACAAGTTTCAACCATAAAGTGTGATCAGGTTTTGGACCTTGTTGATTTTGTGTTGGGACCGGCTGCAGGCTGACTTGGCGGAGATGCTGGCCATCTTGGTTTTACACGGATTAGTGCACTACACTCTTACTACCACTAGATGGCACCTAAAAGTGTCCACAAATGAGGACAACAGGTCTGAGTTAAGAAGAATGAAGTGTAAGGTCAAGTAAACCCAAAAATGTGATGTCCTCATATGAGTTCACAGGGTCTCAGGAGGACATTGGCCAATATTAGCTTGTCATTGATAATACCTGTATGGATTAAAAGGCAGCCAGGTATTAACAAGAAACTGCAGCAAGAACACGTCAAAGATACGTTTAAGGTCTTCTATAAACAGAGCTTCTATTAGCCAAAATCAGGGGTCAGCAACTAACTATCAAAAGAGGCATTTCAGACCAAAAATAATTAAACAAAAATCTGCCTGGAGCCACAAAACATATTTAAACCTTTTGGTAACACTGTGCATTAAGTCTAAATTAGCCTATCGACATTAAAAATAGTCCAACTGAGCATTCAAAAGTATGTTTTACCACAAGATGGGTCCTCTGAAGTGGACACTATTATTAGGTAATATTATTATTATTCAGTACTTTGGCGGTGAAAGCAAACAAATCTGTCCACGTACCATTTAATTCTAAATTTTCCTCTGAGACTTTTACTTTTATGGATTACGAATCCATTGCTAGCCAAGGTAGGGAGGCTCAAGACAAGCCACCGCTGTTGATGTTTGGCACATTCTAAAGGAAAAGGTGCCACGCTGTAGACGTATGACGCACGTTTTAGCTGATTCAGTGCATAGACCACACATTTTTACAACAATGATAAATAAAAATGCCACACAGAGCCACTGGAGGAGGGCTAAAGAGACACATATGGCTCCAGGGCTGCAGATTGCCCACCCCTGGCCTATATAGCATGTCCACCAGAGAGCACTGACACTGTAACTAAGCTTATTTTATTTCCAACTCTTCTATGATAAAAAAATATATAATACTACATATTGGATATTACGTATATTGCTACAATAAGCTAGTATTATAGAGACTCGTAATGTGTTTGAAGTGGTTAATAGTGTGTTGCACGTTTGCTTTACACAACAGACTATAGAGTTACACCGATATATACAGCTGGGCTGATATGTTGGTCGATATCAGCTTATCATTGATATTATCTGTATGGGCTGAATGGCAGCCAAAAAGTAATAAGAAACTGCAGCACACACAAGAAATGTTTAATGTCCTCTATAAACAGGGCCGCCAATACATAGTTTGTCCACCAGAGAGCAGTGCGGAGTAGTAGCACATTATTCAGTAATAAGATGTGTAGTGTAATGGATTACAGTTTGAGATTTAGTAACTACACTACATTAACTAACCCTTATAACACTGTTGTGTTTTCTTTGTTAGCTTGTCTGGTTAGGTACATTCAGGAATCAGCTCATTTTGTCCAGAGTTGGCTAGTGTGTGAATCCTGCGGCTTCACTGAGGCTAACGTTAAGGTTAGAAAATATTAAGGACATAGCCTGGCTGCTTGTTAAACCATTAACTTTATTTTTCTATTTCAAAAGTAACAAGTAATGTAACAAATTAGTTTTGCTGATGAGTAGCTAGCACAGAAATTCAATTACTTTTTTAATCAATTATATGTAATGAATAATTGATTACATTTTGTCTAGTAATTTTTCCAACACTGTTGCTGACAGGTTATTTTTCAACAGTAAAATGACCCTGTTAGTACATAGCTTGGTATTTAACCCGTTGAAACCTGAGCACATTGGCTTGATTCCTTTAAAAAACATGGGAAGAAGGCAATGAGCAACAAAAGAAGAAATGACCCCAAAATTTTGCAAGAAATTAGTAAAAAGAGAAAATTAAAACAAGAAAATTTGTTAAAAATAAATAGATAAATAAAAGAAAAAAGTTCAAAACACACAAACAAGGAAACGACCTCAGAACAGTGCTTAAAAATTAAAATAATTCTGTAACAATTTTGAAAATGTAATGAAAAAATGCAATAATGATAATAACTATGAATATAGTTTTTTTCTGGCTTTTTTTTCTCTTTGTTATCTACATCTTTTTTTGTGTTTTGCAGTTTGTGGGACATTTGTTACCAAGTTGCTCATTGCCTTTTCCCCATGTTTTTGAGAGAAATCACACCAATTTTGCTCAGTGTTCAAAGGTTTTAATACTTGCAAAGGGTCAAAAAACACATTTAAGGTATCCTTCTTTTTTTTTCTTTTTTTAAAGATATTTTTTGGGGCTTTTTAGCCTTTAATGTATAGGACAGACAAGTGTGAAGGGGGGGGGAGAGAGGGAGTGACATGCAGCAAAGGGCCACAAGCTGGAGTCGAACCCGGGCCGCTGCGGCAACAGCCCTGCACATGGGGCGCCCGCTCCACCACTAAGCCACCAGCGCCCCACATTTAAGGTATCCTTATCAGGAATATTGTTTATGTCAGCCCAAATGTATATGTTAAAACACTTATTTTTAACTCCGTCAACATATCAATATCATAGTATCAGCTGGGCTGTATTAGACTGTACATAACAAGGAGATGATCAGTTTTTCCATGGACAGGATAAAATATTAGAAACAGAAATGTGTCCACCCAATGGGTGGATAAATATAAATATACTAACACCTTTCAGATTATAGTATGTTTCAAGTCACTGTGTTATTGTTGGCACAATCAGTGGAAAAGAAACCAAGAGGGGTTGAATCAACACTTAACGTGAGCAGCGTCATAAAGGAAAGACTTACTTTAGGGTTGATGTATTGAATTGCTCAGCATGCAGCTACATTTGAACCTCATAAACTCAGTGTGCAGCAGCCTCTTACATATTTCTCTCTAGTGTTATAATAGTCTTAATATTGGTTATGCTGATAATACTGAGTATAAATGTACAATTAGTACATTTTGCTGCAGCGATATCAACAGTGCAAGTCTGTGATACTGTTTATAATGCTCATAAAATGCACACTTTGCAACCAGATATGTATCATAGCAGTGAGTGTGAGTGAGGTGCAGTGCATTCTGGTAGTTGTAGGTTTTCCACCTCTTGAGCAAAAGCCAGTGCTGCAGCCCTTTATCTGTTTTCTCTGGTCATGTAGCACCAGTTTCAAAAGTATTTGTGTCTTTCTGCTGCGTAGACAATCTAGTTTTATGAAGAGCATCTTCCCAGCAGTGAAATACATCTTAAACCCTAATTAGTGTTTCAAATCCATGTTAATGTTTAAGCCTAATATTCACTGTATTGTGCATTTAATGTATTACTTTGACACTGGTATGTAATTATAACTCGTGGGAAAATATTAGGCAATCAAAGCACAAAATAATTAGCACAGAGGGCCTTATGGGCCATTCTTCACTGTCATCCATTGGAGGAAGTGAGACTTCCTTGGCCATGATGTGGTCAGCTTCTCGTTAATCATTTGGGCACGTAAAGTCCTACACAAAGTTGATGGACGTGTGAAAAGAGTCTTGTTTTTCATGTCCTTTGAAGACTAATGTCACAGCATTGTAAGTAATTAGACTCGGTGGGCTCACCGGAAACACTTTTGGATCCTGTAAGCTCTTTCTTTGACACAAAACATCTAGTCTCCAAGTCATGGCTATTACTTTTTAAAAGTCTCTCTTTCTCTCACTCGTCTCTCTCTTTCTCCCTCGCTGTCTCTCTCTGAACTCTGTGGTTTCATGGACACATTTCAGCTAAAATCACAGTGTGGTCAGTGGTAGCCCAAACTCTGGTTTGCCACTTCACTTTTATTTGTTTATTGTTTTTGCTGATAGATATGGTCCTGTCATCACTGCAATTATGCTGCAGTTCACAGCTACAATATATGAGACAAACTCTTAAATCCATTTAGGCCTACATTTTGTTTCTTTTAACATTTTATGCACCCTTTTATCACACGAGAGAGCAATGCACCTCAGAATCCTCAGGTTTCTATCTAAATGTGTAAACATCTGCTATAATAAGGCCTTATAACGTGAACCCGCGCTGAAAGACATCTGGAAACAGTTCAGACTTGCTAATAAAACAACACAATTCACACATTCCCTTTTCTCAGAGTTGAAAACTTTCATAAAAGAATGGATAGAGTCGATTCAAATGCACAGTGTTCAAGCTGCATCTGGATTTCAGAGCTCCTGAGATGAAGTTATTGTTATTTTTTTGAGCAAAATCTCTCCACTGTAACTCCTCTGATGCCTCCCTGATGTGTTATTCATTCAGTCTCCGAGCCTCCTGTGAGGCTATTCATTCGGCTAAACCACTGTCACTATTCTTTCATCATCGAGAGCCCAGTGAGAATGTGCAAAAAAAGAACTGAATTTGACAA